TAGATAGATAGATAGATAGATAGATAGATAGATAGAGATAGATAGATAGATAGATAGAGAAATAGAAAGATAGTTATATATATATGTGTGTGTGTGTGTGTGTGTGTGTATGTATGTATGTATGTATGTGTATATATATATAGCGAGATAGACAGAGAGAGAGAGAAAGAGAGAGAAAGAGAGAGAAAGAGAGAGAGAGATCACACAATTTTGATTTTAAAATAAGAAAACTGTTACAAACAGGTTAAGGAATTATTATTTTTTAAAAATATGTTACTATACATAGGTGCTTAGGATGGAAAAGTATTCAAAAGAATACAACCTAGAGAAATAAAACTTTTAAACTGTATTTTGGTTTTTAAAACTTGGTTAAAAAGGAACTGTGTAATACAATTTAACGGGTTATGGATACTGCAAAATGACAAGCTCTAAGATCTGGATATTTTCCATTCTATATCTTGATAAACAACACTGATTAATCCAATAAGCATAAAACAAACCCTTTGTGTCTCCGTAGCAGACACAGAACATTAAGTGACACTGACGTCGGCTGATTAAAAAAAAAAGGTTTTGCAGAACTTACTGCAAGGTCACTGTACAAATGGTCACCAAAATAAAGGACCTTGGACCCACGCCAGCCTGTTAGCCGCAGAAAATCAAACAGATTGCCCTGAAATGTACAAAAAAGAAAGTGAGAATAAACCGAATATCCAGTTCCTTTAAAGCAAAGGAAAACATTGCATGCTTGGCTTGAAAAGGTCAAGAAAATACATCTCTTAGCACTTTGATTTTTCTACAGAGCAAAGGAAAAACATTTCTTCATCATGGGCTGCTTATTTAAAAATGGCTAGAGATAGAGGCTTAAGGAGTTCTCACGGGAACTTAAATCAAATGAGAGAAAATGGGAATTCCTTAAAACCAAGCTTATAATCCTATCATTTGTATAAATGATTACTGTATTTTTTTTCCTTACACAATCAGAAAAACACACACTACTAGATGTCTAAAACAATTTATTGCAGCTCTAATGGGAAAACTTTAAATCCCCTCCCCAAATAATGTTGTAAATTAAGCCACTGCTTCAGTAAATACACTGAAAAACCGTGATAGTTTGTTACCTATTGAATTTGTGCTGAAATATTGTTTTAAACTTGATATCCCGAATCTAGGTCCTATTGCAATATTTCATGCCTCAAAGCAAGGGTTTTCAAAGCAAGATATACATTTGTTTTGGTAAGGATTGCTGCAGACCCGTTATTTCATAGGTCAACCTTTCTATGAACAATTTAGTCTCCCTCTACTAGGTATTAAAAATGGGAAACCAAGTCAAGTTTTCTCTTTTATTATTATTGACAGAACACATTCAACGTAAGTCTGAAACCATCATGGTCATGCTTGAAGCTCTCTGTCTCTGTTTAACTCTCTAATCAAAAGACATTTTTGTGCTTGATACAAAACAAAGGACCATTATGCCAATTTCAGTGGAAATGTTAACCGGATGTAAGTATCAATTACCCACGGTCTCAGTGATCTGAAAATGCTAATTTTTTGACTTCCACATTACAGTCTCTTATACAGGAACAAAAATAAAGATACGGGCCAAAATAATTTCAAAAACTGAAAATCATCTGCTCATCTATAACCTCACATATGGTATGAATCCATAAAGTAGTTTCTAGTTTCCCAGCCTCATTCCCAGAGGGTTCCCATTTGCAAATACGTCATTTCTTCATATTTTGCCTTTATTATACGTATATCTGAATAATGTCACAGTCATTGGCCTGGATCCCATACGAGATTCCCATGGAAAGAAGGTCTTATTCCAGCTATGGAAGGCTTCTGATTCAATGAGATTCCACTAACAGAAGGCAAAGAAGGCAACCTTTGTTAATTAAACCTCTCTGAATCCTATGCTGTGCAAAACTGACTTCAGAGTTGATGACTCGCTACAAACGTCAAAGAGATGTCTAAAATGAAAATCTTGTTGATGGAAAATTCTGAGCATGTCTCTATGAATGTGAGTGATTCTTGCTCGCTGAATAAAAGCAAGATTCAAACCCCTGTTCAATTAGCATGAAATCACTGTGTTCCAAATTATATGGTTTCAGCAATAAAATGTTCCCAGGGTTTGGTTTAAATTAGCATTCCAGTTCAAAATAAGTCCTAAAGTTCTGAAAGTGTATTACTAACAAATTTTCATTATCATCTTCCAAATAATAACAATCTTCTCACCACTTTTCAGGATTATATTAATTCCCAGGAGAAAGAAAATAGGAAACTGACTATTAAATCTACAAACAAAACATAAAACAGTTTCTTTTTGAGGGAAAACAATGGAGACAGAATAATCTTAAAATAACAGGTGTGGATATGAATTGGAAAAACAGTTAATTGTCCAGCACAGACCACACATTATTTAACTTTTGCCATATCAATATCTCAATTGTTCAATTTTAACATCGGGAGATGCTAACAATTTAAAAGAAAGAACACATGGAATAGAACAGAACATTAAGTTATTAGAAAGGAAAGTAACAAAAATTATTTTTCATGGTTATCATTATATTTGAAACTAACTCCAGAAAGTCAGCATTATTAAATACCCCATGAAGTAAAGACAAATCGTTAGGTAATTTTACCTGTTTATAGATTTTCCCCTTTTCCAGTTTGTTAATTTTGTCCCAGTGAAGAGAACCTTCTTCGTCCATTTTTCTGAAAGGTCTTCAAAAAGGCAAAACATTGACGTTATAGGCTTCACTACAAAAATGCTACAAGAAAAGCTTTTAAACTGCAAATGAAGAGAATTTCAAGTAGATTNGGAGAAATTTCCTGACAGTTAGAACAATTAATCAGTGGAACAGCTTGCCTCCAGAAGTTGTGAATGCCCCAACACTGGAAATCTTTAAGATGTTGTCTGAAACGGTATAGGGTTTCCTGCCTAGGCAAGGGGTTGGACTAGAAGACCTCCAAGGTCCCTTCCAACTCTGCTATTGTATTATTGTAAGTTGTATTATTGTAAGTTGTATTATTGCATTATTGTACATCCAGAAACCAGTTGTGGAACCAATTAAGATGGTTGAAAATGTGTGTTAAATGTTTCCAACAACTGGTGCTGGCATATTCATTACTCAGCTCAACTGAAATGTAGAAGCAATTGAATAGCCAAATTCAAACCCTCAACCTAGAATTCACAAAGTATGGACCACAGAGATTTTAAAACAGATATATACACACAAAAGTCCATGGAGTTTAGAAAGTTAAATTTTAACAAAAAAACAGAAGCAAAACATGTAAGGGATCACAACCTTACTAATTTTAGTAAGCTGATAAGCAATGTGTACATTACATTGGAAGAGTTGATTAAAAATGTTTCCCATTTCAAAGTCATTTAACTTAATCATCAGTATATCTGTGTATGTCATTAGCATATCCAAACTTGTTTTTGGAGAAAATATGAAGAATCCAATTGGCAGCATCTTTTATAATTTGGCATTCTTAGTTACCCTTAACAATTAGCAAAAGTTACCAATAGGAGAGAATACGTTAGCATTCATTAGTTTGGGAGCAGCAGATGCTATTAACGATGCACATTGCAATGCACAGGTGTGTAATGTGGGTATTTCCTCACTAGGTGTACTAACCTTAGATAAAACACTGAACATTTCACTTTAGGACCACCACAGAATCATGCAGCCACCCAATTATACAATTGAAGCTGTGCAAGTAATGCAGCTTGATATACATTCACCTTTCTTTTGGGGATCAAACGGGAGGAGAGTTTGAATAGTTCCCAGAGGTACATCGAGGCATTTTAATCCATCAGCATTTAGTTGTCTTCAACAAAATACATCAGACCCGCACATTTTCCCACTCCCTTCTCTCCTTACCGTAAACCAGCTTTTTCATCTCGTGGTATTTGGCCCAGAGATAGGACTTCGTGTCGATCCCTTCGATGGAGCTGGGCTGGTGGCCGCCTAAGAAAGCAGCTGCCACAGCAGGACCGGCGTCGGCGGTCCTCTTAGCTTTGCCGCCGATCGAAAAGGAGCCCGGCGATGGGAGACAATGCTCCTCAGGCTGTGGCTGATGGGTCCACTGGTGCCTGCATCCCGCCCGTCCCGATCCAGCATCGGAGCCTGTATAGTAGCAGCAGCAACTGCTGTGGCTGGAAACAGGAACCACCAGTTGAAGGATGCCGACGCTCTTCCATATGCCGCTGCTCGCAGCCTTGAGTCCAGCCGCCGCCATGGCCCCACGGGAGGAGAGCCTCTTCCTTGAGATGCGTTCACAAGACCGTCATCTCAGAGCCTCCAACACGCCTTCGTCAACTGCATCGTCCGCCAGGCTGGACAACAACTGGCTCCTTCAGCCATCTGACCCGCCTGAGAGCAAGTAGTCAATGAGAGAAGGCTGCAGGGCTCCAACCCAAGACTTGCCAAGGAGGAGTTGGAGGAGGTGGCTCTTCTGAGCACAAGTGCCGATGCCGCCGCTTCGGGACCACTTGGGATTTGTAGTTTGTTCAACGTTTTATGTTGTCCACTCCCCCAACCACCTCTTGTAAGGATTTTTTTGGGGAGGACACAGACAAGAACTACGACTCCCAAGATCCTTTTCGTCCTCCTGGCTCGAGGGTATTTAAAATGTTTAAGGACGGGCGTGTTTTCCTTTCGGAAACCGTGATTCCGAATCCTTTGAACCCGGGCTATTNGCTTTCAAGAAGAGACTGGACAGCCATCTGTCGGAAATGGTATAGGGTCTTCTGCTTAAGCAGGGGGTTGGACTAGATGACCTACAGGGTACCTCTTTATTTAATCAATGTAATGAATGGATCCACTGTAACTACAGGGCCCAGCACTTTCTTTTGTCCCTTTGACATCAATGTGTGCAGGCTAAAGGCATGTACAGTACAATGGAACCACTGTTAAGGTATAGAGGACTGAATAAAGGCTACAGCCATTCAAAAACAGGGAAGTCCAGTTGACTTCTGAAAAAGTACATTCAAGTAGGTGCCATACAAATAATATAGTGCAATACCATATTGTATATCTATGCAATTGGCTTTCTTTCCATCAGTAAAATAACTTTTGTTTGAGCTGTATCTTTTGTTTGTTTTCCTAGTCTTTATCACTGAAGGATGTAAAACTTCATGCATCACTGCGTGACGTTATCCTCTCAAGCTTCAATCTCACAGCTGGTACAATAATACCTTCCCAAGCAGGATACAATCTTTCCATTGCAGAATCATTGAGCCATACTTTTCTCGTTGTAAGTATCAATTCTCTTTACACAGCCACTTAGCCATGAACCCCTCTGCCTCATCTTTTTGGACAATGTTGAAACATTGGTGGATTTAAGCCTTGAACTTTTTAAAGTTTTCACACAGCTCATTTGCAGTGAATGATAAACTAAAAATCTTTGGTTCACTTTTATTGCACCAGGTTTCTGAAGCGATTAACAATACAGTGATTGTTGAATGGGATATTGCGGCCTCCAATGGGATTATTCATGCTATTCAGAGTCCTTTGAAGGTACCTCTGCAGTATAACCAGGTTAGTTACCAGTTCTTTTTTTAGAGAAACAAGAAAATGTTTTGCATTTCTCCCTTCCCTGTTTTATGAATTAAGATCTAAAATAGTATTCTACAAGTGCATGTATTTATTTATATCCTACCTTTATTTATTTTCTTACAAACAACTCAAAGCAGTGAACATATCCAACACATTTTCCTTCTCCCNGGGGGGGATCTGTATTAAACCAAGGTTGTATATTGAATATTTCAATTCTAGTGAATTGAAAGTTCGATACCTTCCTAATTCTACAATTTCTGAAGTGAAAACCACAGTCGTTTCTCATTTCAAGTAGGTTTTACTTAGAAATCAAGCTAGTTTTCTAAAAACATATTTTCTGACCATGTAAGTTTTAACTTGCTATTTGCTCTAAACCTCCATGAAATCTGATATTTTAAATTTGCTTTTAAAATTATATGCATACAATTTTCCCACTAAGCCAAAGTATTTAAGTTTTAATTAAAGTATTTTATAATTAAATGAAAAATTAGTATTTCTATCAATTGCAAATCCCATCCTGAGGAAGGCTATGAAACTAGGAAGTGGCAGCAAATCAGTGAACTACACAATTTTAGGTAGGACAATTAAAACTCATGAAAGATGTTTTCATGTTCGAAGGGACTATCTAAATGCTGGAGTTGAAAATGATGTAAAAACTGTGATCCCAAAAGAAGGTATTTTTTGGGGGGAAAAAGTTTTTTTTTTTACTTTTTTCAACTAAGATATGCAAAATCAGGGTTTTAATACCCACCAAAAACATTATTTATTATGTGAAACCTTTTAATACTGCAGTGCAGCTGGTTATGCACTTGCAATTCTCAGTAGCTGCAGTGCAATGTTTATATCAGAGCAATTTTTAAAAAAACAGTATACAAATCTCAGTGCCAAATTATGGATAGCATTTAGGCAAGCCTGTCTTGTACATGTCCTGTTACTTACCTTCAAAGATCAGTTAAAATCTGCAAATCTTTTTGTAATAATACCTTAACTATTCAGAGAACAACACATCCATTTTTTTTCCAGTGGTAGAAATGTAAAAGTATTAAAATGTATTAAATATAGATAGGTCTTGGCATCCTTAAAAATGTCATGTTAAATATATAAATGTTCTGTAAGCGATCTGAGAATGCAAAAGTATTATGTATACTATCAAAAACTGAATCATATTAAATAGAAAGCAGAAAGAAATATTTGCACCCTTGTAGTTATTTATCCTTCCTCACGAATTTCTATAAGCCCAACTGCTATGGTGATTTCTTCTTCTGGAGAAATGAAGCCGAAAACACATTCTCTTGCTAGCTCAGAGTCTACTGGCAACATAAGTAAATGTTCATGGTTATAGGACTCTTCACAAATGACAAATTGGTCAGCACAAACTCACCTTGGAAGTCCTATATGCCAAAAGTGTTTGAACTAATTGAAGTGTTTGATTATTTTTCATTTTTATTTCAAGTCCTGAGATCTTCCTACTGACCAAATATTTAGATTCTTGTATTTATCAGATTCCTTTCTCTCTACTTCAGTAGCTTTATTTTTTTTAAAAAAAACTTCCAAGCATATGTGATGTACCTGCCAGAAGTAACTACCGTATAAACACAGAGATGCTCATGCCAACATGGTCTAGGCATAAATGTATGTTTTTCCAAGATAAACAGTAAACACCCTCCCTACCTTATCAGAATTTGTGAAGAAAAAAAGATATAACCTTGCTTTGCTTTTAGAACCAAGCATGAGATCATCTTTCAACTCAACCATATGCACAAGTCTGTATATTTAAGAAAAGTCAACATAATATAACAAAAAGTGAAATATGCTTATTAAAAATGTCCTTATAAAAAAACAATCTTGCAATATACAATAAGATGCAATAAAAACAATTTTCTCTCCCTCACCAATAACTAAAACAGCTATGTTCCACAATTTTTTTTATACGTTGGCATTGAAAGATTAAATATTTTCTATGTTGTATGCCTGGCGGATATTAAGTGTATCTCTCAACATCAAGTCTCGAAGCCGCCATAGTGCATCTGCCATTGTGGTATGAGCCCCTTTGCTTTTCAACCAGTGCGTAGGAAGACGACTTTCTTGTTCTTTTGAGAAATGGACATCACGTCTTCGTGCTGAAACAACAAAAGCACAGAAGCGATAAAATGCCTTAAAATATGTCATTAGACTTCACCAATAACACTGATGCATTATACAACATGCAAAATACATTACTGTTTTAAATGCATGAATATGGGTTGGGAAATCCCTCAGTTGGGAATTTTACTTGTGAAAAAGATTTTGGAATTGGTGATGAACATGAGCTGAAAAAGTCAGTACACAAATACTGCATCAATAAGAATAAAATCTGCAAGTAATATAAAATAATAGTTGTTCTTTCATCTGCACTAATCTGACCCCATGTCATTATGTTCAGTTCTGGACATCCTACTGAAAGATAAAATTGGACAATTGGAAATGATTCAAAGGACAACACTGATAATCAGGGAACTGAAAATACTGGGGAACGATGACTGGAAAGCAAGATGTGGTAATATTTTTCATGTATGTGTATGATTATCACAGAGTATATAAAGATTTGTTTTCCATTTATACAAATGACAAAACACAGAGTAACAACTTTAAATTATAGAAATGAAGATTCTAGCCAAGTGTTCAGAAAAACTTAACAATGGTTCAANGCTTCAGACTGAGTATCATCTGACCATTCTACAAACCAGAAAACAAATTTATAAAAGCTTGCATTTTTTAGAAATGGACAAAATTAGTCCTAATTTTGTTTTTTAAGTCTGAAATTAATGTATCCCACTTTACTTTAATAAGAGAAGGGGATATTCGTTAAAAAATATGTCAGAATGGCAATGTTGTTCCACTACACCGTGGAATTCATGATAGAATAAGGTTGCCTATGGCAATTTCCTTGTTATACTTTTGATCTTGTATGAATTATGGATCATTTTAAGTTTGAAACATTGCAAGTTAATTATGTAATGTTAAATGAAGTATTTCCAAAGAGTTCATAGAAATGATCACAAATGTTTTGCAGATGATGTTTACCGTAGAAAAGAAGGTGAGAAACATTACCAGAAATTGGAAGAAAAGTGAATTCCACATTGTATCATCTGTACATAATGGATTCTAAACTAATAAATGAAACTGTTTCAAAGTTTGCTTAAAATATGAATACCAGCTGCATTTTGTTCAGTGAAATGTATTTTTGTCAATCTGTCTTGTTTCAAATAAAAAAATAATCATTTTGGTGAACAAGTGCCATAAAGTTGGTATTGATTTAATAAATTATCCCCAAGTGTATCTGTCTCCATCATGATCCTTCAGGACTTTCAGTGGTGAACTCTGCTGCTGTAAGTACTCAGACCCTTAAGATAAAAGTTTTCCCCATCTAGTTGTTTCCAACTCTAGGGGGTGGGACTCATCTCCATTTCTTAACCAAAGGAGCCAGCATTGAGCTAAGACATTTCTGTGGCCATGTGGCCAGCATGACTATAACTCGGACCTACTCATATATTAAATAACAGTAAGACTGGTTACCTGTTGCATTTTAGAAAATGTTGCTCTATTTTAGAAATTGTTGCTTTGTGACACATTTCATTATTGATTTATCATTTTTTGTACATATACACAATTTATTTATTGCCTTATTAAATTAAAAGGAATTATTTTACTTTGTTACTGGGCTGATTTGAGTATGTGCAAAAAGGAAAGGCAAAAAGGGATTTGATCCCAATGTTTGCAATAGTTTACTCTCATAGTCCAAGTCCTAGTTTTAGGGGAGAAGATTATAACAAGAATGTTATATATGAGAATTCTCATTCTCTCTCTCTCTCACACACACACAGTGATCATTATGATAATATCTATACAATATAGATTCATGCTTCAATTGACAAGTTCTGGTTGTTTATAAGATACATATGTGGAGTTGTCACACAGAAGATATTTGTGATAATATAGATCACTAGATAATGTAGGTCTCATCAGGATGTGTATTTCTCAAAGCCTTAATATGGCTTAAAATTCTATTACCTGAACTATGGCCAAGCAAATCATGACTTACCATATATGAACTTAGTATGCATGAAAAGGAACTTGACATGGTAAATAGCAGAACAATTTATAATTCCCTATAGTTAAGAGTAGCTTGCCACACTCTAGAGAGAAAAATATACAAGGAAGAATCAGCAGTGTCCTGTAATTCAGGGTAACAAATTTTCCATGCTGCTTTTCCTGTAACATTGCTTCTATTAATAAAAATTATATTATAGCTTGCTGAATGGAAAAAGACCCAAAGTCTATCAGATAGCAGAAACTTTAAAGATCTGCTTTTCCATTTATATAATCAGACTGATCAGTGGCCTTAAATTGTATGACAGGTTTCTGTTTTGTCATCAGACAGAATGAATAATATGGGAAATAGGCGGAACATTCTGGAAAGTGGATTTGGTCCTAGGGAATATCAAAAACAAAGCTGCAGAAGTTAGCAGAGTTGCATGAGGACTGGTTAAAAACATTTATGTTGATGCAATTGCAAGGGTGCTTGCAGATACAGAAGAGTAGTAACCAGGGGACAAGAACTAGCTTTTTATATTGTAATATCCAAAGACCTTACGAACAAACGCTCAAATTGCCAATTGCACTTAACATAAAATGATTTATTAACTACTATCAAGTTGGAGTCAACTCTATGGAACTTCCATTTTTTTCCAGCATGATATGCCTTCAACCTGGCCTTTTAGATCTCTCAATAATTTTACATACTAGAAAATGCCAAAAATTCTGCAATCCAGGCTTCAATGATACATGGCTTCAAAATATACAAGCTGAATTCAGAAAATAGAAATTTGAGGTCACAATGTTAACATCAAATAGATAATAGAAAAAAAAATGTTCATAGATGGGCCATAAGAAATTGAAAAGAGCTCATGAAAAGACAGGTGTACCAGACCCTCTCATTTGCCATTGAAGAATTTGCATGACAAACTGAATGCAAGAGTTAGAATGAAATATGGAAGAAGTAAAAAATAGTTCAAGTAGTGGAAAGGAATATGTCAAGGCTCTTTACTATGCCTCCATACTGCATTTATTTTAGTTTGTGTTCAGAATGTCAGGAGAAGTGTTGGATTAAAATAAATATAATTTGAAATTGAAATTCCTGGGAGAAACACGAAAAACCTCAGATAAACTGGCATTGCTTGGATAGCTGAAGAAACCGTAAGGATTTTCTCGATAAATGAGACAAGAGTGCAAAAACCTATCTGTTTCTTTAAAAAAATAATCCACTGAGATGTCATCACACAATGCCCATCTAATGTAAACAAATGCAACAGTAACAGTAGACTTCATTTCCAAGGGTTAAAAATTCACAGGGACAGCGACTATAGTAAGAAATAGGTACCTGCAACTTTAGAAAAACCTGAAAACCTGGACAGAAAGTTTGAAATACAGGTATCAATCACACTGACATGAGAATTTGGTTTTTTTTATCTTAGCCAAGTCAGTTAAGTTAGATGGTTGATTATATAAATAATATAAATAAAATGTATTTATTGTAAAAGTTATAGTTTTTCTTAGGTGGAAATTGTCTCATCACAAAGGCTGGTTAAAAAAATCGTTTGAACTGTAATCTTGGAGAAAATAGTTGAGAATAAAGATCGGTATTAATAATGAAGCTAACACTTCAGTGTTTTAGGTGCTTAATGCAAAGGCAAAGAATTATAAGAAAAGAACCTGGTGATTAAAAAAATGAAAGCAGTGGTAAAAATCTAATAGAAAACAACTCTCTAGATAACTAACAAGCATGAGTACTAGAATTTAACAAAAGCAATAACAGATAATCCTGCTGAAACTATATCTATCAAGTCATAAAGAGTTGGAAGCAAACAACTTAACTTTAGTTTATTTTTGATGGACAAATTGTTCTCTTCAGCTATTAAAAACTCCTAGTTTGAAATTAAACATAGAAAGTTTATACTAATCACACCTAAGTGTCATCATATATACATACAGTGACGGTCCTTTATTATAAAGAACCATCTTTATTTCAGAAAGCTGTCCTTTTATTGGTTTTNTTTGAAGAGTTGCCAGATGAGAGCATCAACTGTTGTGACTTCTTCCCGGAGCAGTGCTTAAATTTTTAGCTCATCACATCCTATCCTGCTTCTAACTTTCAGGAAAATGTTTTTTTTAAAAATGCTGCACAGCCAGCAAAGATTAAAGATGTGTTAGTGCTGTAATTATTCCCTACTGCAGCCAAAAATAATGCTGGCAGAAGGACAAAATAAGATGATATAAAGTACCCTAACTTTGTTTACAGAGATCATTGCAATTGTGCCTGTAAAATGTTGAAAAAAAAAGCTTTCCTAACATCCTTCCCATATTTTTCAAGCAACTTTGGACCTTATTAGAATCAAGTTCCTCTTTCTTTTTGAAAAAAAAAAAACCCACATGCCAAATGTAGTTGCAAAATTTAGAAACTCTTAAGCAAGAATATTCCACCGCAGACTTTATTGCATAGCATTAACTGATTTTTAGATTGTTATACTATGGAACTATGGAGAAAGAAGTCCTTTATAGGTAGCCCAAGGATTACGATAATTTGTTCAATTATGTACTGGCACTGAACAAAAGAAACTTATGACCGACCTATAAAGCTGTGGCCATTGCAGTGACCCTTGTAATCACAAATTGGGCTTTGGGTTCTTGGTAACTGATTCACAATTATAATGTTGCGGTTACCTCTGATTGGGATGGAAATTCTGGTCCGACATTATTGTTATAATACAAGGATGACTGTTTCCCTGTGTATATGTGTAATATGTAAACCCATATGCATACATACACCATTATTAATTCATTTCTCCAAGAATAAAGCTGTAACTTCAAAAACTAACCAGATACGTCAATGTTTCCAGTTTCCATATTGACTCAAATGATGTTATTAAATACTGTGAAAGACTAATTGAAAACAAATTCACTTCATAACTCACCTTGTGCACGTCATAATGAAGCCCTCTGATGGCAAAACCGGGAATGTACTCATATTTCCTGAGTCCTTCTGGGTACTACAAAATATTTTATTAGAAAGAATGAGTAATATTCTTCCAAACGGGGATACATGTTATATTTTTCTTATTTAAAAACTGGTAGAAATCTTGACAACTGCTAAAGTGGATACATAGATTATAGTTGTATGGCAATGGATACATAGAATATATAGTTTTAGAACAGGATTATAATCAGCCATAAAACTCATTGGACAACTGCAGAAGGAGAAATGAGAAAAAGTATAGAGGAGATGGAGAAACCTGGTATTTTTTTAACATGCCTTAAGAGTACAAATGTGAGCTTTCCTCTGAGGGGTGATTTTATTTATCTTTGACACAAACATGTATTTATCATATTCTTTGTCAGACATATTGTACATCATTATCTTATGTATGAAAATAGGGTATTTAAGCCATTCATAATTGGAACTGATTGAAATAGCATATACCAGTGATGGCAAACCTTTTTCGCCTTGGGTGCCAAAAGCACGCGCACACATGCGCTATTGAATGTGCTCGCATACCTACTCCCGTAATTTAATGCCACCCCACACCATGCCCCCTGCATATGCGCTACTGACACCCTCCTGCTGCCCCGCACATGTGTGCACAGTTTTTTTGGAGTCTGGGGAGGGCGAAAATAGCCTATCCTGCCCCCCCCCCAAGGCCCTCTGGAAGCTGGAAACGGCCCGTTTTCTGACTTCCGGTAGGTTCATTTTTTTACCCAGGATCCAGAGGTTTTCTAGGAGCCTGGGTAACACAAAAACGACCTCCCCCACCCCCTGGAGGCCCTCTGTAAGATGGAAACAGTCCATTTTCTGACTTCCATGGGCCGGTAGGTCCATTTTTCACCACTTCCACCCCATACTGCCCCAATATATAACAGATCAAGCATCACACAAGAAATGATGATGATAATTGCAAACTTACCTTATACTGTTCAATTAGGATATCTCTGGCAGCATTGAATATCATTGAATGTAGTAAGTTTGAATATTGTGCCAACGTATAATCATAATCAAAGCCATAGATCTCAACATCTCCCAAGCTAATCTCATTATTTGCATAGATAGCTGCAGGGTTAAGAAGATTGCAAACTCCTGGTGGAAGCAGATCTGGAAAAAGACAATAAAAATACAAGCACTTATATGAGCCAAAATTGCACAGAACAGGAATACTATTCATGTTTTAAAAAGTGGGGGATGGGAATAGGATGGGGTTAAATATTCCTCTTTTTTCCATTATAACTGGGTATTCAAGAGCATTGACATTTGGCTGTCTGATTCAGCCAACGGTATTTGCCCTTTCACAATGTTTGTTTTTTTCCAAAATTATGAAAGCAGATTCAGCACGGAGAAAAAAAGTCATGTCTGGGTATTTTTGATGCTGGAAATAGTCTTTATAGACATTATCATTTAAAATTATTGCCTGTTTTATGCATCACCCACATTAAAACTTCTGATTTCCAGTTAATCTAATCCTTATTCTCTAGGGTACCAGANTCTTGAACAGTAGCAAAGGTGTGGTAAATCCGTACATAGTTCAACTAAAGAAATGGAACAAATATGAATAATTTAGTAAAATAACCAAATTGATTAGTTACATGCAAGTGAAAAGGAAAGCTATAGAATCAGTGCACAGAAAATAGAATTTCCTTTAAAATTTCTGCACATAATTTAACATTAATCTAAATAAATCTAACTACAAAAATCTACAATTTACTGATAGAAATAGAGTTGTGTAATTATATTGATCAATGAGTAAAACACTTTCCTTTGCAGATGCTGCTCTAAGGTAGATGAAAGAACGCTAGAATATGGAAGGGTCAACGTTCTTTAAGAGGTTCATTTCCTTGTAATTTTACCTGAAAGGGTCTGGTCCCACTTGCTAATATTACTTGAATCAGCACTAAGACCTTCAATGTATTTCAGATAAGCTTCTGAGTGGAGAAGCCTCTGTGTCTTTGGTGGAGGAGAGACAAACATAGGCGTTGTAGGCTGCTGCATGACCTGCTGAGATGCTGGGTTTTGACCAGGATAGGGAGGTGGTGCTTGTTGACCTGGGGGACCAAGCATACCTATCTAGAAATATAAAGTACAATATCAAGAAAGCATTTTAGAAGTTAGGTCAAGAACAGCCAAAAATATTTAGAATTATAGTTAAGGATATTTGACAAGTATTAGCTAGGTTGCTTGCTTGCAGACATTTCAATACTTAGCTAGGCAACATCATAAGTCTTAAATGCCAACTAGTGAACAACTTAGCTTAAAGATTAAAAAAGACAATATCAGAATATGATTTATTGGATTTTTCTATACCTACCTGCTGCCCAAATGGACTTCCTGGTGCTGGGGCTCCTACCATGGAGGAAACGTTTTGCCCTAGAACACCTGTATTTTAAAATATATCAAAATCACAATCTTATTCCAAGCTAAAAACAAAACAAACAAAAATACTACTCTATTGTAACAAACTAATGTCACATCAATAAAGTGAGAATCATTATTTGTCAAAATGTATTTTTTAAAGCAGTATCATTAATCGTGTCATCTGGATGTCTGGGGTGTGTTTTGTTTTTGAGTTCCACCTAATTAACTTCANCCACTAGACCAAATTTGCAAGGTTTTCAGACTCTGGGAATGCATTCTCTGATGAAGAACCTTTTACGTAAAACTAGACATTAACTGACTTTGGGTGCTTCCTTGGTATTGGTAACTGAATGGCGTCGTTTTAACTTAAAAAACTCTATCTGCAACATGTGAAAGATTAACGTAAGGAAGCAAAACATGTATGAGTGCCATATCAATGCTATTAATAGATAACTTGGTCTTGCAATCCTGCTTTATCTAGAGATCGATTGCTAATGCAAACTGGGTATTTAGCATGTTTGCAAGATTAGCTGATGTTGAGAGTTCTTTGCATTTCAGATTGTATATTACAGTATGCTGAAATCAATGCTTACTGAAAACAAACATTACAAGAGTTCTAGGTTCATTAGGTGGCATTGAACAAGATAGGATGATCTTAAGTCAAAAGTCTTTATATTGTATCCATCACATACTGATAGGATGATGTTGCTAAGTTGGGTAATGAAATACCTGCAAGAAAGTTCAGAGCACCAAAGGAGGACCCCATATTCTCAATTCCCCAAGAATGCCCAGGAAAGATTTTAGTAATGGAGGTGAAAATGATAGAATTCATAAATTGTCAATGTAAGCAACTTAAGAGTACTGTAAAGCAGTTTTTAAGTTTTAGTGCTATTGCTATCTGTGTTTTGGGATAAATTAAATTAATAGTAATATTATAGGTAGTAATGCTACATTTTTTAGTTTTGTATCTTTATGAATCCAGGTTTAATCAGATATGAAATATGTAAAGATAAAACTGAATTTTATTCCTTTTCATATTTTTATACATTTGGTTAACCATATTTTTGAGAGCCTAATACATAAAACATTTTGTTCAATGTGTTTCAGAATCACTTTCTTACGACGAGTGTTAAATTCTTAAAATGTCTGTCAGTAGTATGATAACTTATCTAATGAATAAAGTACCTGGAAAGAAACGATTTGGCATATACAGATTTCTTCCTTTCTACTTCATTCTTGGTGGTGCTATGGAATGGTTCATGATTAATGTTCCAGTCGGCAATCAGACCTTTTGTAAGTATAANCTGTTCTAGGAACAGAATTCAAATAATAGAGGCTGAATCTAGCACAAATAATTGTCTACTATACCAAAACTAACAATATGCTGGATGTTGCAACCATCCATTTGTGAGAATTATATTAGCTGCAGTTTTTATTTTATATCAAGTTAATATTCAGTACAGAAAACAGGAGAAACAAGAGAGAAAAACCCCCAATGTATTTGAGACTTCTATTTCCTATAAATTAATTGATACTTCTAAAATAAATTAGATGCATAACATTTCCCAAACAAAGAAATAGCTATAAAAGGCATAGTACACTATATTGGTTTGAAAATGGGTCCATATGAATTTCAAAAGCCATTGTTTGATTAGTGTCTTGCTTTCAAACTTTAAGCACGGTGCAAGACTTCAACGCCAAGGTTTTGAAATAAAACTTTGAACTAAGATCTGAGATATTGTACATTGGCCATTTCAAAAGAAAGATCAAATGATAGATATGCATTGTGAGAATAAGCCTGAGACTCATGATTCTCTTCTCTGATTAAAAAGTCAAATTTCTAAACACAAGTCATTGTTTAAAAGGATTACAAACTTTGGTTCAAAGTTGGCTTCTTTCACCAAATTTTAACGATACTGTTATAACTATATATCACTATACTTCTGGGCTCAGTTATATTGGTAGAAGCTTTCAAATTGCTCAAATTATAGACATGCCACAGATAGGGCAGAACATCAAGACCTAATGTATGCCATATTAAGCCACATTTTAATGTTCCATCCAAAGTGACCAGTGTTGACAGTGATATAGGGAGGATGCTGTTCAGTGAACAGAAGCCTAAGATCTCCTGATCTAGGAAAAATAATCACTACTTTTTTCATTTCCTGTGTGTTGATGCAAACATACACGATCATTTCAACTGAAGGTGACAGCTTTATTTTCAAACGAAAGTAAAATACTCATTTGTTACACACTTAATCCATTGTGAGAGCAAAATAAAGATGCTTATGGGATCCTGAAAATCAATTATATTATGTGAGCAAATCAACAAGGACTTGTGGCACATTACAGACAAATTCTCATTACTGAACAAACTTTTGTAGACTGAAGCCCACTTCAGATGTACGATCATTCACTTTGGCAAGGTATACCGATGATACAGCAAAACAAAAAACAAAAAAACCCAACAGTTAATAGATAGGATACAATTCAAACTATGCGCATGATCGCCGATTAGGAAAAGTGCTGTTATAGGACTAGTCAGGATAAAGAGTGCATGCTTATGATTAAATATAATATCTCTACCAGTGGGAGCAACTTTTGTGTTCAAAATCAGGATGCTTTGAAGGTAAATTTTAAGAAGAAAGTTTTGTTAGGTTGGTTAAGAGTTTGGTAAAGTGGATGAAGGAAAAATGGTCAGAGCCCCTCTGTTTGTTTTTACCTGCAACAGGTGTCAACTGCGGATTGAGCATCCCCATTGGTGTTGGTGGCGGCACCACCCCCATAAGAGCCCCGACAGGAGTGCCTGCCCGGGGGGAAGAATTCTGCTGCTGTTGCTGTGCTGCTCGTTCTCTCTCCTGCTGCTCAGCAACCTTAGCTGCCCGCTCTGTAAAAGTATTTTAGATTTTCAGTTCTGTTTTATGACCCAGAATTTTTAAAAAAATTCTCTGATCATTTAGCCTTATGTAGGAAAAAAAAGCCCACACAATTTTAGTAATACAGTATATAATTTTGTACTTATTCAGTTGCCAACATAAAAAAAAGAATTCTTTTAAAATTCACCAAGATTTCAAGAAATATGGGCTCAGATCAATACAACCATGGGGGGGGGAAGAAAGATGAGAGGTCTATTTTCTCTGTCTGCCTCCCTTCCCAAAATCTTCTCCTATTTGGAAGCAACTGACACTGCACAGCTACAGAATCTAAGGGGAAAATGTGCTCTAGAACATGCGGGCTCTCACTCACATAGCATCTGTCTGTAACTCCTTAAAGCAGCTGTATGTTTTCACAGCCTCACTTGGCAGCCTTCTGCAGCTGCAGCATTTTCCTGGGGGAAAAACAGATTTGGTTTAAGGGTCCAATGCACTTTTTAGCCTTTGAATCTGAAGTGTTGCCGAGTCCTATCTGGTTGTGGAATTGTGTAATAGCCTGAATAAGGATATGTTATAGAAGAGAGGAAGGGAAAATAGTATTTGTTTGCAAGCTTGCTCACTCATTTATGGTTTCATAATCTAAGCCAACGGTCACCAACTGGTAGTCTATGGACCACTGATCATTCGTGAGAAAAAATTGGTGGTCCGCAGAAAAATTATTTGCATTTTTTTATATTGCACTAAATACTATTTATCTTTTTTTTAAAAAAANTGTACCAATTTTACAATTTGTCTAAAGCTCATTGGTTATGTTTCTTTTTGGAAAGTTTTTGAATGTAGGATAAATGTACGTCCTAAACATGTTCCATGTATCTAATGTAACAATGTAACAATCAGTATGTACACATTGCATGCCATAGTGATTTCTTTACAGAACATGGTTAGAATTATAGTAAAATAATCTAGAACTAAAAATGAGACATCTTAATGGAACAATCAAACCTGGTTAATCCAAATTATAAACTATTTTTATTTAAATTAAAAAGCCTCAAAAAAGACAAACTGATAGTACATGCACATGGACTAATGATCACTTTACTCACTGGAGTATACAACCAGATGTAAAAATGAGGCATGGATTAACCAGGTCCAAAAGCATATATGCTGGAAAAAAGTTATACGCATTGACTTGAATTAATATACAGATTTGCTGTTTAAAAAAAGTAAGAAATAAAGAACAGGCAATAAACTACTTATCACTTTCAAACTGAAATAGATGTATTTTTTCCATTCAAACCAACCAGTTCCCATACTTTTATTTGAATAACCAAAGTCCTTTTATTCTAATACAGTGCATGGCTGTGGAAGATAACAAATAATGGATTCAAGTGGCCACAAATAAAACATGGTTTGTTTTCCTGTTCAACAAATTATAATTAAAAAATAGTTAAGTCTGCTAATTGTGCAAAACTGGATTGTAACCATCAAATCTTAAATCCTATACGTTACTGAAATGCCCCAGTACACATGATATTGGAATAAATTAAATTTAAAATAATTAGGGCCAGCCTAATATTTTAAGAGGAGTGCTCTGCACTTCCAAAGAAAAGGCCTCATTTACAGTTCTAATTGTTTACTCCTAGGCTGTTAGGGAGTGGTGAAGCTGCCCCTTAGGTAAGGTCTCTTATTCAGCAGTGATCCTTCTGTATTAAACAGCATCCAAAGGGTGTCTCATCCAAAGGGGTCTCATCTTAAAAAAATGTTTTTTTAAAAATAATAAATAAAAATAAATAATTCCAAGTTCTTTGGTGTAATTTTAGAAATTCTGAACAAAAGCAATTGTATTAGTAAATGTCCATGGCAGTTTTAAGTACTCAAGAATTATGATGTGCTGCTAGCTTCCTTTAACTTTGTTATTGAAAATACCATTATCTGAGGTAATGTCAAATAAACTGGCCACAATCCAAAAGAGCAAGCATGCATTTATTATAGCAGCTCCCAACATTGCAACTGCTTCCATGTTGAAAATTACTATAAGGTCAACTAAGAAAACCCCAGGAGGGAAAAATAAACTTGGGAGATAGCAGCATATATATCTGTCTCTCTGAGGTTTGTAAATATTTTAAACAATATAAACTAAGGTTGCTTGTACCAAAG